GGTAGGTAGGTAGTATGTGTGTGTGTATGTATATATCGTATGTATGCTGGTATCCATGTCTGTGTAGGAATGTATGTATGTATGTATGTATGTATGTATGTATGTATGTGTGTACGCATGTGCATACGTAGATAGCCAGGCATGGGTAGGCAGGCAGGTAGGAAGGAATATATTTCATCAGGTTTGGCCAAAGGCCTCAATGGGGCTTGCCGGGCTCTTCTTGAAAAAGGGTGTTGGTTGGTCTTATTCGGCTTGGGGCTTCACCCCAAATCCCACACCTCCTATGTATGGGCCCAACATATAGAACTCTTGGGAAAAGAAGAGGGCTTTGGGTTTGTCAGGTGGGGGCTCCGTGTTTGCCCCTGAGGAGTCTACATCTTGTACCGCCATCGGGAAGGAATGATCTCAACAACATCACTCGTCAAGTTTCCGGATCTGGGGCTTCGGGCCCTAAACCCTGTAGGGTTTAGGGGGGCAGTAGACTTCTAGCATTTTGAAGCTCAAAGGGAGGGCTCTGGGACTAAGGACTCTTAAGTGCTGTTTTGGACATCGGAGTTTGCAGCAGGGCTCAGGGCTTCGAGACCTTCGCACGCGGACATCGGTTTAGACTTTCGGGTTAAGGGAGACCTTCCTTAACCTTAAACCCTAAACCCTAAAACACTAAACCCTAAAGCCTAAACCCAAAACCTTTTAAACCCTGAGCCCTAAAACCCTAGACCCCGCGGACCTGGAGCTGATCACGCCATAGGCCCAGACCCTCAGGCCATCTCTTGGCTTGGGGGTCTCGGGTTTCAGGTCTCTTTTAAGGTTTAGGGTCAGTTAAGGGTTTAGGATCTTGCTGTGTTAAAGGCTTAGGGTCTGTTGGTGTTTAGGGTTTACGGCCTTTGTGTTAACGTGGGCCTCTATAATGCGTTTCTTTTTCTGCTTATGCATTTCTTCGTGGATTTCAGGCGAAGTCTCCGCTGCGCTTTGTGGCCCGGCGAGATTTGTTGGTTTGCTGCCCCTCATGGCCAATCTTATTTTCCTAGAGAATCACGAACCTAATCCCCAACACCAACACCCCTGTAGAGTGTCCTTGAAGGAACCCTAAACCTTAACCTCCAACCTTGAACCCTGTATAGTAATTACCCTTTTGGGGTCCCTAAGCACCGCTAAACAGCTCCTTTTTCAGAGAGCCATACGTAGAGCTAAAAAGGGTCCCCTTTAAGGGGTCATCCTGATACTACCTCCAAAACTGCTATCTCTGCAGCTGAGCCCTAAAGTCCTGAACCCTTATAAACCCTTCTACCCCAAAGCTCTGATACTATACAACTATTTAAAAGCAACTAAACCCTTCTGACATCCAAAAACTTTGATACAACTCTAAACCCTCACAACACCCGAAACCCTACAACCCGTATACAGTTTTCAACAAATAAACCTCTATAAACCTCCAAGTCCGCATAAAACCCGAAACCCTAGATCCTTGTTTTAGACAAAACCCCTGTAAAAAAACCCTAATCCCTCGTAACACTCTGAACATCCCGGCTTTGAGCAGGGAGCCTGTGGTGCACATGCCCTAATGCCCGCCTCGCGCCTCTCCCTCAAAAAAACCCGAAACCCTCATAAACACCGAACCCCCTCACAGAACCCTAAAAACTCCTATGAAACTCTAAACCCTCACAAAGAACTTACAACCCTAAATATCCTAAAACCCAAAAAGAGCTTCCCGCGGTTCGACTCTTGGGCTGCGGCGAGTTCGAGAGATTCTGCGGCGTGCGCGCCAGGTAATCCACGCCTGCCGCCGGACTTCTGAGGTCCCTGGATTGCGGTTTAGGGCTTTTTTTCCCTCCCACTTAGCAAGGACGAGCCCGCATTGCAGGGTAGTTCGGGTTGAGGGTTTAGGGCTGCTTGGGGGGTTCAAGAGGGTTTCAAGGCTTGTGGGCTTTTGTCTTCAGGTTTAGGGTTGGGTTTACGTTCAACAGTTCCCACGGTGGCTCCTAGTATCTATAACAATTTTCCCTACCAGCTGCCGAAAGAGCTGTCGGGATTGGAGTTACCAGCCTCTCTTCACGATCTCGTCGGCAGCACTCTGGAAGAGGCTGTAGTTCTTGACAGCCAGCCTGGTGGCTTAATGCCGTGAGAGAAACACGGGTCAACGGTTTCGAGGCACTTTAGGGTTTAGGACATTACCAGAAGTGACTAGTATGCATGCATGCACGTACGTGTGTATACATGTATGCATATATATATATATATCTCTATATATATATATGTATATATACATATGTATATATATATACACATATGTATTGTATGATATATATATATATATGTGTATATATATATATACATGTGCGTGTATATCTATACATCTATATACACATTGTACTTGTGTACTCATTATCTTCATGTTTGCACAAGTTAGCAGGTCTGCGCTATAAAGCCCACGGTTGAGCATCCACTTCGTCGGGGCAGCTAGTGAGCACGCAGGTCTCGGCCATAAGGTATTGAGTGGTTCGCTTGTGGTATGGTTGCAACATACAACTGTTGGAAACTCGCTGAACCAATGAAGATGAACTAGCGCATACACGCTTAGCCTGCGTGGGCCTGCCTAGCTGTTGGGCACCACACACCTTCGTCGAGCTACGACCTGCTGCCTTCCTTCATCAACACAGAAGCATGAGGATATTTGCTCCTTGTTTTGTGACAAATAACATCTTAGCTCTACCTCGAACTACGAAGGAGACCCCATCATGAAAACAGCATGGCGGCGCTACTACACGATCTAACGGGTGAAGCTAATGTTCGGCAATATTCGAACAGGATTGCACCGCCGGGCCCCCCAACATCCCGCCATTACAGATTGCGAAGTGCTGGCCAGCAGTAGACGCATAAGTCAAAGCGATCCGTACAACACATTTGTGCTGTGGTGACTGAAGTAGAATGTTGCTACCGACTGTCATTGCTTATATGCTGCTGTTATTTCTTTAAGTTCCCTTCTTATAAGATAGCTTAATACTAACTGAGATTGATGCCATGATGATGGAATATGGAATACTCTTTTCTGATCTAAACTAACATACAGGATGGAATTGTCTTGAGGCCGCAGCTTGGCATAGGACCAGAGCACGTTCCTGGCAAATGTGAGGCACCAGAGACATCTCTTGGCATTTGGAGGAGATACGGGTTTAGGGTGTAGGCAGTAAAGGTTTAGGATTTATGGTTTAACCGTTTAGGGAATAGGATTTCTGGTTTAACAGTTGAGTAGAGTTTCTGACATAACCGTATCTTGCCTCCCACCTAGCTAGGACAAGCCCGCATTGCAAGGTTCAGTTAAGAGCACATTAGCAAAGCGATGATGCATCCAATGGCCATCGTAACAGGTTGGTGAACTCTGTACAGTACTGCTGAAGCCAAAGGGTCTTCTTGCGCGATGTTTATTACTTCTTCTCCGTGCCCGTTCTGCTTCCAGAACGCTTCCAGGCCGTGTTGTGGGCAATGAAGAAGTGACGCTGGGATTGCTTGGGTCGTCGGGTATTGAAGATGCGACCTCGGGACTCGTCTTGGACTGTTGGATTTGAACTGCCAATAAGATGCGACTGCTTTGGCAGAAAACGCATCGGTGTTGGCACCGGCTTCCACGAGGTTAGCCCACTATTGCACAAATGCCGCGAGTTGACAGGCCGGATGGAGCCATTGACACTGCAGGGCACATTGCAATCAAAACGGCACCACTGACAACTGATCATTACCCCTTTCCCCGCCCTCAGAGCTAAGCACCTCCCACTCAAAACGAGGAGGCATCTCTCAATGACAGCCCCTCAGCACTTTGCTGCTTTCGGAAATTGCACGTCGAATCTCACACACCCGCAGGTATACAAATTCCCAGTACATAAAAAGTTCCGTCACACCAAAGGACCCCGAGCATATACCCATGGTCCTGTCAATTCAGGATAAACTCAGAATTCACGCAAGGGAACAGGGCTAAACCGTTCAGGGCTTTGGTGAGATCCTTTTCTCTGAGGCTGCAAACAAATATACACAGAGTACCTACTTTGGCGTCGAAAATCTGCCACAGTCTATAGCTAGTATCTGCTCTGGACTATTTGGAATCCTAGGGTTTGCGTGATTTCAGGTTTTGACATGGTACCGAGTCAGGCACAGAGTCTAGGATTGAGGTTTAGGGGCAGTTTTTTTTTTTTTTGGGGGGG